ATTTAACGTTATGTAAGGCCAACGGTATGCGGGGGTCCACTGTATATACAATGTAGCATGCGGTCTGGTAGTGTTTCATATGCTGTTCCAAGGGGAAGGAGTAAATCTCAGAGCACATCCCGTGGCCCTACACCACGACCTGATAGTGAAGATGACGATATTGTTACGATGGGTATGAATGATGCGAGTGAGGCAGCAGGCGGTGGTGGTGATAGTGATGGTGGCATGAGTCATGTGGCACCGGCAGCGGGCCACAACCAGCCTCACCCAACCCCACACTCCTACAACCTGCACAACCACATTTCAATATCCAGAACCCACCAGCAGACTGCATCTGGGATTGGCAGCAAGGTGATGAGTTTGTTCCCAGTCCCCATGACTTTGATGAAACACAAAGTGGAATACGGCCATCGTGTACACCTGGGAACAATGCTACTGAACTGGAATGCTTTCAGTTATTCTTCGATGAACCCCTGATGGACATTATTGTCAGGGAAACCAACACAAACCAGCACATGAGTACACCATTGCAAATACAATTCTCTCACCAAGATCACGGCTACACCAGTGGAAAGACACAGCTGTGACAGAGATGTACCTGTTTTTTGCCACAATAATGCTTATGCCACATGTGTATAAGCACACAGTAACACATACTGGTCAACAGAATGCCTTTCAACCCCAGGTTTTAGTGACATTATAGGTGTGAATCGTTTCTTGATACTGTTACGTATCAAGACAAAACCAGGCCTGACAGAAGCGACAGGTTATATAAGATCAGAAATGTGTTTATGTACATGAAACAAAAGTGTTGCATGTATTTTTATCCCTTCAGGAAGTTTGTTATTGACGAATCTTTGATTTTATTCAAGGGAAGACTCTCATTCAAGAAAAAACATACCAAGCAAAGGAAATGCTTTGGAAAATTTATTTGTACTGTGTGATGAAAAGTGGTCTCTTTTTGGTTATTTGTACATGGCAATAATAATTGAGAGATACCAGAAAGTTATTGGATATCTCGGTGATTGTGGTTCGAACAAATGATGGAACCAATCTTGGTGGGGGGCATATTTTATTTACTGTAAATGGTACAAAAGCCCTATGTCAGGATTTTTGCGATGAACCCTGCAGACGTGTGTGGCACAGTGCGTTTTTAAAACGTAAACATAGCCAAGGGTTTTAGTGGCACTCGCAGGGTGAGGTGAAAGCCTTGCTCCCATGACATTGTGGCTTTCGGTGGATGACAAAAGTGATGTAACATTGTTGAATCATTCACCGAAAAAGAAATGGCACACACTGGCAGGCACAAAAGAGAGACCGAAAACCCATTCTAAAACCCGCAGTGTATGGACTACAACCCCAATATGCATTAGTGGGCAAATTGACATGCAGATTGGGTTTGCTGATTGTGTACGCAAGAGTTATAAGTGGTATATAAAACTTTTTTTCCATCTTGTTGATATTTCCATGCTAAATACTTATAACATAAACAAGTTGACGACCAACAACAAACCAAAGTATGGTGAATTTTGTTTGTCAGTCATCAGACAAATAATTGCCAAGTACCAAGGAGCAACACCTGCAATAGACCAGCACCCACGAAATTACCAACACACGCCATCTTGTTTGAGGCCTGGTGATCACTACCCCATACAACTGCCTCCTACTGATTTCAAGAAAAGTGCTCAGAAGAGGTGTTTTGTATGTGGACATACCACAAAACGCCTACAAACACGCAGAGACACTCGTTTTATGTGTGAGGAGTGTCAAGTGCCACTCTGCATATACCCATGTTCCAAAGAGTTCCACAAGCTGCAGCAGTTTTAGGAACATGTTCAGTGACTGTACATATGTATATATATTATGGAACAATAGTAATAAACAATGTTTTGTATTGTTTGTGTAAAAAAGTTTTATAGAGAAACTAATAGTGATAATGTTTGTTGTTATTGTGTTGTAAACAATGAGTGCATATTTGAACAATGTACACGTACGTTACTTTGGTCTCACAGGCCACATAAGTTACTTAGAAAAGAAAAATATTGGAAAATACAAGAAACCTTCAAACTGGAGTAAATAAAAGAATACCAGGTAAGAAAAATCATTTTTTTTTTTTTAAATATTTTGCGACATAGAATGCCAGTTTCAGAAAGGGGCTTGCGACAGTCAAAGGGTTAAATCAGTATTACATACCTTTACTGAAGACTAATGCTGCCTGCTACACTTCTGCATGCCTGCTACACTTCTGCATGCCTGCTACACTCCCTGCATGCCTGCTACACTCCCTGCATGCCTGCTACACTTCTGCATGCCTGCTACACTTCTGCATGCCTGCTACACTCCCTGCATGTCTGCTACACTTCCTGCATGCCTGCTACATTCCCGGCATGTCTGCTACACTTCTGCATGCCTGCTACACTCCCTGTATGCCTGCTACACTTCCTGCATGCCTGCTACACTCCCTGCATGCCTGCTCCACTCCCTGCATGCCTGCTACACTTCTGCATGCCTGCTACACTTCTGCATGCCTGCTACACTTCTGCATGCCTGCTACACTCCCTGCATGTCTGCTACACTTCCTACATGCCTGCTACACTCCCTGCATGTCTGCTACACTTCTGCATGCCTGCTACACTTCTGCATGCCTGCTACACTCCCTGCATGTCTGCTACACTTTTGCATGCCTGCTACACTTCTGCATGCCTGCTACACTCCCTGCATGTCTGCTACACTTCTGCATGCCTGCTACACTCCCTGCATGCCTGCTACACTTCTGCATGCCTGCTACACTCCCTGCATGCCTACTACACTTCCTGCATGCCTGCTACACTTCCTGCATGACTGCTACACTTCCTGCATGCCTGCTACACTTCCTGCATGCCTGTTACACTCCTTGCATGCCTGTAACATTCCCTGCATTCCTGCTACACCCCCTACATGCCTGCTACACTCCTGCTACACTCCCTGCATTCCTGATGCACACTCTGCATGCCTGCTACACATCCTGTATGCTTGCTACACGCCCTGCATGCCTGCTACACGCCCTGCATGCCTGCTACACACACTGCATGCCTGCTACACACTCTGGATGCCTGCTACACTCCCTGCATGCCTGCTACACTCCCTGCATGCCTGCTACACTTCCTGCATGCCTGCTACACTCCTTACATGCCTGCTACACTCTCTACATTCCTGCTACACTCCCACCATGCCTGCTACACTTTCTGCATGCCTGCTACACTTCCTGCTTGCCTGCTATACTCCCTGCATGCCTGCTACACTCCTTGCATGCCTGCTACACTACTTGCATGCCTGCTACACTACTTGCATGCCTGCTACACTTCCTGCATCCCTGCTACACTTCCTGCATGCCTGCTACACTCCCTGCATGCCTGCTGCACTCCCTGCATGCCTGCTACACTTCTTGCATGCCTGCTAAACTCCCTCATGCCTGCTACACTTCTTGCATGCCTGTTGCACTCCCTGCGTGCCTGCTACACTACTTGCATGCCTGCTACACTCCCTGCATGCCTGCTACACTCCCTGCATGCCTGCTACACTTCTTGCATGCCTGCTACACTCCCTACATGCCTGCTACACTCCTTGCATGCCTGCTACACTCCTTGCATGCCTGCTACACTCCTTGCATGCCTGCTACACTCCCTGCATGCCTGCTACACTCCCTGCATGCCTGCTACACTCCCTGCATGCCTGCTACACTCCCTGCATGCCTGCTACACTCCCTGCATGCCTGCTACACTCCCTGCATGCCTGCTACACTCCCTGCAAGCCTGCTACACTCCCTGCATGCCTGCTACACTCCCTGCATGCCTGCTACACTTCTTGCATGCCTGCTACACTCCCTGCATGCCTGCTACACTCCTTGCATGCCTGCTACACTCCCTGCATGCCTGCTGCACTACTTGCATGCCTGCTACACTCCCTGCATGCCTGCTAAACTTCTTGCATGCCTGCTACACTCCTTGCATGCCTGCTACACTCCTTGCATGCCTGCTACACTTCCTGCATGCCTGCTACACTCCCTGCATGCCTGCTACACTTCCTGCATGCCTGCCACACTTCCTGCATGCCTGCCACACTTCCTGCATGCCTGCCACACTTCCTGCATGCCTGCTACACTTCCTGCATGCCTGCTACACTTCCTGCATGCCTGCTACACTTCACGCTTAAATTCCATGTTGTTTCTCACTTTGTTTACCTCAGGAACTTGACCAGGAACTTTCTTTGGAGCTATGGTTACTTATTTTGCAGTTGCACTGCAAAAAAAAATGTTTGGATGTACATGAGCAGAAGCTTCCTCACGCACCGAAAGACTCAGCCCCAGCCGGCGGATGGACGCATCCAAAATAGGCGATCACTGAAATAACGGCTGATCACCGGGAGCCGAAAAACTGGCCGATCACTGAGTTGACCGGTAACAAGAACGGCCGATAACAGAGGGTCCACTGTATGATAAATAAGTCAATAAACAAATAATTACTGTAATTAAATACCAGCATTAAAAAGTCAATAAATTATTGTACTAGATATCAGTAGCCCGGAGGACCAGAAGAAAATTTAAAGTTTGATGAGTACTGAATGTGCAACACCACTGAACCATCATAGTCAAAATATTGCAAGTCGAACCATCATAAAGTTTAATTATTGCAAGTTGAATCATCACAAAGTCAAAATGTCACAAGTTGGACCATCATCGAGTGGAGATGTCGCAAACTGAGCCATCGCGGAGTTGAAATTTTCAAGTCAAACCATCGTACAGTTGAAATATCGCAAGTCGAACCATCGTAGAATCAAAATATTGCAAGTTGAACCATCACAGTCAAAATACCACAAGTTGAGCCATCGTAAAAAGCAACACCTGTAATTCCTTAATCACCAGTTGGCTGTGCACCAACTGTCTCTAGCACACCGCCTGAACCACTTACATTAAGATGATGGTGGGCATGAGGCAACACAGACAAGGTGGACATGAAGCTCACCTGATGAGAGAGGTGCTTAGCAGCAAGCGTGTGGGAGGGTAGAGCTGTGGCAGTCACTGTGTAGCTGGGCACAGCATCGACGTAGCCACTGAGAGTTTGGTCCAGCTTCCGCTTCCTCTGCAAGCACTGTCCAGAAGTGGCAGGGGCATGCAAGACTGTGCTAGGCTCACCTCCCGCCGGAGAGATGAACATGTCAAGCATTCCCTGCAACACACCAACAAACACACAAGTGTTACTGGTTAGAACACAACACACTGACACTGTATACGTATTTTATTCCTCTACCTTCTACAACACAACCAGCAAACATACATGTGTTACTGGTTACAACACAACACACAGTGTGCACATTATTCCTCTACCTTCTACAACACACCAACAAACACACATGTTACTGGTTACAACACAACACACAATGTACACATTATTCCTCTACCTTCTACAACACAATGTTACCGGTTAGAACGCAACACACTGATGGTGTACAATTATTCATCTACCTCCTACAGTTACATCCTTTATAAAGTCCATCTATGTGATGCAGTTTTTTTGTAAATGACCCTGAAAAAAAACACATCCAAAACAATGAAGACTTTTGGGTTATCCTATGTAATTTACACATTTTAAACTATGCAAAAATACCCGAGTGCTTTCATGTGCTTACACACACGTTTCTCCAAAGATGTAATAATAATAATAATAATCTTATTTCTACATGTACATGGTACAACTTATACAGACCATAGCTGACATCAATGACATACTACAATGTATATAGAAAGTCCCAGATTATGTACAGCAACTCCATTATCAAGGCAATAAGCTTTGATGATTCTATTCACACGTGCAAGTCCCGCTCAAATCAAATCGTGTGTGTGGGGAAGTACCCTGGCTGGTGTGTTCTTTCTTGAATTCTATCATGTTTCTCGCCTTCTTTAGCAAAGGGCTGTCACTAGGAGGTTTCTTTTGGCCCAAGGTGGCTTATTTAGCAGTTGCAAGCACAAAAAACAATGGATTATTATGGAATGTATCTTATGAACGTGTGGGGTGATGGTCACTCGCCAATAAACAATGCCATACTGACTGGGAATGGTGTGTGAGGCGCCTTTGTGTGGTGTGGACACTGAAAGGCCACTTGTATGCATTCCAGACGAGCAATGAATGGCGAGGCAAATTACGAACCGCGAAGCTATATTTTGACGAAAAAAGTTGTCAAAAGTCGAAATTTACGAAGCAAGAGGCTTACGAATCTCGAGGGCTCTCTGTATTTAGGTTTAAATACTGGTCAGAGAGCCCATCATAAGTCCAAGGCATTGGTAAACAAGTACATCGTAAAGTAAGGAGAGGCTGTATTATGTTTGTGCTGTAGCACATGACTTACTGATTATGTGATAGTGAATGTGTTTAATTTTAGGGGCTGACAGTACCTTGGCAGGAGAGAACCAGTGTCAAAAAAGAGAGTTGTGACCTGACAGTGCTTCACAATGGACCACAATACCTTAGTAGGGGAGAACCAGTGTCACAATGGACCACAATATGTACCTTGGTAGGAGAGAACCAGCATATCAAACACAAAGTTGTGACCTGGCAGTGGTCAACATTGGAACAATCAAGCGTCTAAAGTTTCTGCTGCAAAGAGCGAGTCATTCTTGAAGTTTTAAAAGTAGCAGAGATAACAGGGAATCAAAGATCACACAAACAAGCGATAACATAAATACAGGAAGGCCTCATTTTACAGTGCTTTGCTACAATAAATATAGTCACCACTCACTATAAGCTACAGGTCCGCCATCACAAATCCGGCAATCAGTTATTTGGCACTAATTTTGGCTAGCATAATTTCAAATTTCCAGAGTCGCCACACTAACCTGCTGGTACTGTTTGGTGGTGCTACTTGCTGCATAAGTCATTCCAATTTCTTTTTCTCCATTTATTGTTTTAACCTGCTTACTTTTAGCCCTAGCCATGGTTCCAATGAATAAAAGAAATGCTTCTCATTATGTAAAGCACCTACACAGTACATTATCCATTAAAGATAAGGTGGCTTTGAAGCCACTGTCAGTTGCCATGAGCTCAGTCTCATGAAGCAGGAGAATATGCTTTATTATTATGCTAATATCAACACTACAGCTTATTTGCCTATCAGAATTGATCTAATATGACATAAGAAACAATATAAATAACATAAAACATGTTAAATACTCCAGAATGAATAATATTTGGCATAACACCGAGCAGTTCGAAGGAGGTATGAAGAGGATATATGGTATACAAATACCATTCTCCTATCCTTGTCTTGGTGGCTTATATTAGAGAAAACAGAGTGTAGCACAGGGGTAACTGTGATATACACTCGTACTGCACCATAAACCTGAAACAAAAAAGTTACCTTCTCTATATAGATTATCACACATAGCAGCATATGTGTAGAGAACCTAGGATAACCCAAAAAAGTCAACGTGGCTTATTTTTAGTACCTGGCTTGGGTTAGCCATACATGATTTTTGGTAAATATTCGATTCTCAGCCAGGGTAGAAACATTAGGCATGTTTCTTTACACCTGTTGTCTATATTTACCCATCAGTAAATGGGTACCTGGGTGTTAACCGATTAGTGTGGGTGTTATCATGGGACACTGACCTAATTTTCTTGAAATACTCTGCATAACAAGCGGCTTTCTATACAGTAGTATGTCACTGATGTCAGCTAGGCCTGTATACCTTGTACATGTACGTGTAGTAAATAAAATTATTACTATTATTATTATTATTATTATTATTATTATTATTATTATTATTATTATTTTCTCGGTTGTTTGTTGGGTTATCTTATTGAAACTTGGGCAATGTATGATGGAAGGATACTTCTTAAGGTACACCAAAAATGAAAGAAATCAGACCATAAATAGCGGAGTTCACTTCTCAGCCATTAACGGCCGCTTAGCGGTATATTTTTGTAGGTTTTTTATGGTTATATTCTCATTTTTTCAGTCTCATTTGATAGAATGAAAGATATATTACAGAAATAGATAAGATTTTGATTGCTTTCAAGACAAAAAGTACCTTGAAATTGCGCTCACAGTAGCAAAAATGTTCTATTCTTTAGCGAAGCTCAAGAGTAAACACCGTCCAATACCTCTACGCCTGACAGTCTAAATTCCAATACGGAGTCAAGAATGGATTGACATTATTTATACAATTATTACAATAATGCAGTAGTCTGCATAACAGTGAATCTTCTATCTTTTGTGAATAAAAATTCCAAATGGTAAGCAAGAGTAATATAAGAGGGGCCAGGAGCTGTGACTAATGAACAGAGAAAATGTTATTTTAGTGCCAGGAATGTCTGCATTGTTTATACTGGACCCTATTTTGAAATTGGCATCTGTTGAAATGTGTGTGAAATCGGCCAAATTGCCAATTTCTGACCACTTTATTGGGTAGTTGAAATAAGTGAATGGGCGGTTTCTTGTACTCAGTTGACAGACTAGAAGTAAATAAGTTTATTCAGGTATACACAAATACAGTTACATAGATTATTATACATAGCAGCGTATGTATAGAGAACCTGGGATAACCCAGAAAAGTCAGACAAAGTGACTTATTTCCAGTACCTGGCTTAGGCTTGCCATATATGATTTTTGGTAAATATTTTTTTCTCTCAGTTGTTTGTTGGGCTATCTCATTGAAACTTGGGCAATGTATGATGGAAAGATGCTTCTTAACGTACAACAAAAATAAAAAAGACGGACGATAAATAAGGGAATTCACTTCTCAGCCATTAGCTGCCGCTTTGCAGTATATTTTTGTATGGTTTTTATGGTTGTATTCTCACTTTTTTTGGCTCATTTGATAGAATGGAAGATATATTACAAAAATAGACATGATTTGACTGCTTTCATGACAAAAAGTACCTTGAAATTGAGCTCAAAGCAGCAGAAATGTTCGATTTTTGCCGATATTCAATGAACTTTTGTGTAAGTCAAGTTGGGTAATTTTATTAAGTGTATTCTAACCTAACCACTCTGTAATCTGGCAAACTCAGTAATCTGGCACACTACAGGTCCCAATGATGCCGGATTTGTGATGAAGGATCTGTAAGTCTAAAAATATTTTAAGGTAAGTAAAGTGTGTACAGTGGAACCTCTACTTACGAGTTTAATCCGTTCCATGACCTTGCTCACATCTGGATTTGCTCGTTTGCAGAGTCAATTTTCCTTATTTAAATTAACTGAAATGGAATTAATTCGTTCCAGTGGAATTTCAGGCACGAGAAAATACTTCAATAATTTCCCTAATATCAACTAAATGACTTATTTATCATATCATGTAATATGACACAATAAACAATATTAATAACATACAAACATGATATATACACTAGAATGAATAAAATACATGTCACTACATATGTGTCTAGTGGTGGCGATAGCAGCCATTATTGTTGTTGGGGTTTATAGGGTTACCACAGCGGCCATCCCTGCTACTGACTACATGTGTAGAGAACCTAGGTTAACCCAAAAAAGTCAGACAGAGTGACTTATAAGTGCTACACTCTTAATGCTACACTTAACCCTTTGAGGGTCGACAGGTCCTCTCAGAAACTTGTTCTCAGGGTCGGCCAAATTTCAAAAACAAAAAATTTTTTTCTTATGAAAAGATAGAGAATCTTTTCCCGATCATAATGACACCAAAAGTATGAAATTTGATGGAAAACTTACGGAATTATGCGCTCGCGAAGTTAGCGGTCTAGACGATGTTTACGCATTGGCGATTTTGCCCACTTTGAGCCCTATTTTCGGCCAATTCCAGTGCACTAGTCAACAAAAACCATAACTATTTCGCTAGAACTCCATTTTTTCTATCGAATGAGTACAAGAAACCACCCATTTAACGATTTCAACTATCCAATAAAGTGGTCAGAATTTAGCAATTTTGCCAATTTCACACACATTTCAAAAGATACCAGTTTTCGAATAGGGTCCAGAATAAACAAGAAAGACATTCCTGGCACTAAAATAAAAAGTTCTCTGTTCGTTAGTCACATCCCCAGGCCCCTCTTATATTTCTTTGGCTTTCTACTTTGAATTTTTCTTACAAAAAAAATAAGATTTACTGTTATGCAGACTACTGCATTAGTGTGGAAATGGTATAAATAATATCAGCACACTTGTGAAAGAATATTAGACTCACCAGCTGATGTGT